GAGATGAGCTCTCATACTCTCATATTAAGACTAGTCCTCTTACATAAGAAAGTTCGTTTCCTCTCCTTGTTCATCACCGTGTGAGGACACAGGGAGGAGTTCATCTCAAACCAGGAAGAAATCCATATTTAACTCTGACCAGATTGTCACTTTGAACCCTCCCACCTTCCAGGACTAGAGAAAGTTCGTTTCCTCTCCTTGTTCATCACCATGTGAGGACACAGGGAGGAGTTCATCTCAAACCAGGAAGAAATCCGTATTTAACTCTGACCAGATTGTCACTTTGAACCCTCCCACCTTCCAGGACTATGAGAAATAACTGTTGTTTAGGACACTCGTCTATGGTAATTTTTATTATAGCATCTCAAACTGACTGAGACAAAGGTTCCAAAAATATTAATTCAAAGAACAAATGCAAGTGACTGACAGAATGTCCCATCAGGCAGCAGTTCTTAACGTCACTGGTGGGAGCAGCTAAGCATTATTGCTTTCATGACACTAATCAAGAGACGAATGTTAAACTGACAAAAGGAAACATAACTTGAATGATGTATGAAAAGACCTATTATTAAAGTTAAGAAGGAAACAGCAGAAAGAAAAGAGGGTTGAAAATGAAACAAATTTTTGTGTTTGTTCAGGAGGACCCGAAGACACAAACAGAGAAGAAATTGATGATGCGCAGGGTGGCAGAGGAAGGAGAGAGAAAGGATGAATGCTCACTGCTCCCCTCTCATACAGCTAGTGATGATCTAGGCAAATTGTGACCCCGTCAAGGGAAAGATGCAAGATAGCAACTGTTGAAAAAGTCATGTGTTTTAAAGATAGAGGATGGTTGGGGACCAAATGCTTTCCGCCATTGCTCCCCTGTCTTTTTCCATTCTGTGAAGCATATAATATTCTGATAAAAATAAAGTACAGTGAAAAATGTACAAGCGCACAGAAAATAATGAATAATGGAAATAATAAATGAAATCCTATTATTAATTATCATTAATCTGAGCAAACTGTTACCAAATGGATTTGTTCAATGAACACAGAAATAGAAGATTTTTATAAGGACATAGTGTCACTTAAACAAACACTTTATAAGGATATAGTGTCACTTAAACAAGCTACTATTGTAAGGAAAATTTATATCATACCTTAGTCAAGACAGTAAAAAACATTGAAATCATTCCCAGGATTTTTATTCATACTTTGAGGTCTACTAAAAATAAATTGAACTGCCATTTATTCTAACCCTTCCCTGCTTCTTGAGCCCCATAGCTGGCAGAGGAATACTGTCTGAGTGCCACAGAAATACCCTGTGTAACATCTGCTTTTATGTGCTCTGTGGATCAGCAGTCCACACCTACTAAGGAAAATACCCTTAGACACCCACAAAGCAGACACGAAATCTCTGTGGTGCTGGCCTTCCAGACTTCCATAGAGATGCCCATACTGTGAGGACTTTGGCCACTGAAGCAGGCACCTGTGTCAACTTCCCCTGAGGAAATCATAGCACCTGCCTTACTGGTTCTTTCCTGGCCTTGCTGACAACACAGGGTCACTGGGAATAATGCAGGCTCTCTGTCTAGTCACATACTCTCTCTGTGTTCTGCCTGTAGGTCCAGAGAGAGAAACACTGCCATCCCCTCCATGCAAAGGCTAGACCTAGGTTTCAGTGCGTTATGAACGAAGGGCTGTCCCGGAATGCCTGTGCTTTCTGGTCTGCAGAAAGCCAACTATTCTTTTGCCTGTGAAACTGTTTTACATTAATCTCTTATTTCACTAAGTTTTACCTTTTCCTTGGAGGCCCAACTTCTTCTTATTTATGTGCTTTTATATACAACTTCACACTTCACCACATTTCCAATTTTCATAAATTTCCTATCAGTGTTCAAAAGAATCATCATTGTCTATTAGCAGCTTAGGTATCCTCTGCATCAAAAAAACTACAAGGTTGATTTTTTTGTATCATTTCAATGACTGACCACATCAAGTATTTATGTCATCTATGTTGATCATAATGCCTGTGTTCTAGATACATAGCACATGTCATACACTATTAGATCTGAATGGCTTGATGCTAGAATTTTGTCTTATCATTAAAAGTAGCTCTTAGCTCAGTGCAAATATTTAGTAGCAGTGAGTGAATCACTGCCTTCTATTTTATGTTTCTGGAGCTAAAAGACAAATAAATCCGTGTGTGTGTGTGTGTGTGTGTGTGTGTGTGTGTGTGTGTGTGTTTGGTTAATTTCTCCATCCATTTCCAAGTTAAAAGCACAGTTTTAAAAACCAAATAGACATGAACCTTTTTGAGTTAGCAGACAAAGTATGGCTCTGCCTTTGGGGAGGACAGATATCTCCTACCTTCACGTACACACAGTGGTGTGAATCAACAGTGTTCTTGTCAAAAGTCACATGAATTTCATTTCAACACATTTATATCCCTAGACATGCTCTGGGAAGTTCTATACGCATTGTGTTTTGTTCAGCCTGATCCTGTAGGTTTCAGCTCCTTATAGGCATGAGGTAAAAACGCATCACATTGAGCTACAAAGCCCGGCCAGTTTTCACAATGCCTCTTTCATCAAGATGCTCTGAGTTCCATCTCCCTGATCACTCATCTGACCCAGTAACTCTATATTCATCTCATCTGAATGGGGAAAATCTGTTAATGTTTTATACTCTAAGTGTTCTAAATGCACC